AGTTCTGCTAATTTCTGCTAGGTTTACGAGAAGTTTGGTACATTCGCCGCTCTGCCATGATAAGATGCCCCCCCCCCCTCCATGTGCTTGTGCTTTTGATTTTTGCCAGAGTCCCTTGATGACTTTCGGGTTCCGATTTCCGCATTCCGGCTTCTCGATTCTTTCTACTTCGAGCTCCAGAACCTGAGACTTGTATTCCGGGCACGGCTATGCTCGTACAACGAGTAGGCAAAGTGACTCCTGTCGGGAAGGATGACATCATCATCGAAGTGCAATGATTTGTCATCATTTTCGTAGTCTCGAACTTTCCCAATACTGTGTGGGGTAACTTTTGGAACACTCTCTCCTTAAAAGACCCCGAATTCCAACAGTTAGAATGAAGAAGTATCAAATTACCAATGTGATGATTACGGTATGATTATTTGGCGTACGGTCTTGGGAAGATACACGATTTGTTCGGGGCGGCCAGCGGCGGCGTTCGTTTAGCGCGCACGCGGGCGCCTGGCTCGGCCTGAAACGACAACGACGAGGAGGACACTGGCTGGTGGCCGGCGACTGGGCTGCTGGGGCTGTCTGGCTAGAGCTGAGTCATTGCGATAACACCACCACCATTCGAATCCTTATCACTCAGTATCACCTCTATATAATTCACGTCGTCCCCTGTCTCGTCTACTGTCCAACTGGTTGATCATCGTCATGGATTTTGCAACATTCCCATCATATTCCTACAATGCTTCATGTTTTCATACACCTCCACCAGATCCAAGAACAGCACGGACTGCCGAGTGAGTTCATCGCATATTTCTTCGTTAGCAACAGTTTACACAACTAAAGAGAGATGACGAAATAACGCCCCCACATGGGGGACGTAGTCGATCGAAGATTAATTCCAAGGGGGAACTCTCCGAACAGCTGTTTCTGGTTGCAAACGCGTTGCATTTCGCAAGGGGGCCAGTTTAGCGCGAAGGTCATTATCATTCCTCTGTTGTCATCCTGTTTTTCTAGACTTTTCTTTTGCCCAAAAATTTTTTTCCGCTTTTTCTATACAGTTTTCTTATCTGATTCCTTATAAGTACAATTGCCTGTCTGGTGAATTATGGGGGTTATTCTGGGAACGTGGTGGTCGATTGGGTGTTGGGGTGGGGTTGGGAGGTGAGGGTGGTGAGTCATGCGCGCGAGTGGCGGCGACGACGCTCTGGTCGCCATCCCCACCACCACCACCGGCGCCACCAAACCCCTTCAGCCTCCTCGATGAACGCGCGACTACGCAATCCTCCTCTCTACAATATTCAACATCATGCTCCTCATAATGAATGGTTAGTCATTCCTCTTTCTTCTCTATCGTATTCTTTCCTCCGTTTTACAGTAACCTTGCGAAATCCCCTACGTTTCATACGGTAGTTTCGTTTTTTCCCGTGAAAATACGTTCCTTTCCGGTTTTTCCTAAGTGAATCAATGCTCATCTATGTTTTTTGGTCTGTACCGACCCAAAAAAAACTTTTTTCTGGTTTTGTAAAGCTAGGTAGCGCCACTTGCCCGTAAACCAAACAGCATGATAGC